ACAGCTGCTGGCTGCTGAGGCTGAGAAACCCCAAGGTTGACAAGTAAAAAGGCACAGTCCCGATGTTACCAAACCACACAGCAGGCCGTTAACTTAAGTCCATTTTAAGTCCCAAGGTTGGCAGAGCATGGCAGGCTGCTTGCTGAGCAACGATACAGCTACATGCAGGGTCCAAGCATGCCATAAGCTGGAGACCATTCTCAAAGCTTCTCCTTAAATACAGGAAGCAGACCACATACTCAAAAGCAGCTACTCAGCTGCTCCCAGTAGATTCTACCATGTAGTTGATTACCAGTCTCATCATGGGGAATACTACATCCAACTGGCTAGCCACTCAACCAGGCCTAGCTAAGTTGACATAAAAACATAACCATCACAGTCTCTATGAATTTTCCTATCCTAGTTATTTCACGTAAGTGAGTTCATGCCATGTTTGTTCTTTTGTGTCTGACTTAGTATAATGTTTTCGGGGTTCATTCACTTTGTAGCATTGTATTACAGCCTTATTACTGTCAGGAGCGTATTGAAAGGAAAGTGAGGCAATCTACTTCTGTAAAGATTTGTGGCCCTGGGAAACCCAGTGGAGGTTGCTATGAGTCGGAATCGACTCGATGGCAGTGGGTTTGGGTCAGGGGGATATGAAGTTTAATATTACAAAATAAAAGTTAATTAAGATTCTGAAAACCCTAAAGGTATGGATGTTGAGAATTAGGAGTTTTGCTTTCCAGAGTGATGATAAAATATGTATCATTTTAGTAATTAATATTTTAATTGTTGTAAAATATATATAACAAAAAAATGACCATTTTAGCCATTTTTAAATGTGCAGTTCTGTTATTTAATTATATTTCTCTATTGTGCAACCATCACCACTCTTCATTGTCAAACACTTTTCATGCCTCTAAACAGAGACTCAGTATCCCTTCAGTAACAATCCCCCATTTTCCTCTCTCCCCAGTCCCTGCTAAATACTAACCAACTTTTGTTTCTATGCCTGTTCTAAGAGTTTCATATAGGTGGGGTTGTACAGTGCTTGTCATTTTGTGTCTGACTTACTCCCTCAGCATAGTGCTTTCAGAGTTCATCCATATTGTAGCATATATCAGAACTTCATTTCTCTTTATGGCTAAATAATATTCCATTGTATCAATATACTACATATTTATCCACTCATCTGTTGATGGACACTTGGGTTGTTTCTATCTGTTGGCTATAGTAAACAGTGTTGCTGTGAACATTGGTGTACATGTATCTTTTTGAGTCTCTTCTTTCAATTCTTCTGAATATAAACCAAGCAGTAGTTGACTTGTATTCTATAGTAACTATACTTATTGGTATAAATTCTATAATAACTATACTTATTAATATAGTTCCTGTTCTCTTGCTTCTCCTCCTTAAGTCAACACTAACTCAAAACCAAACTCACTGCTTTTGAGTCAGATCCAACTCATAGCAGCCCCTCCTTGGGTTTCTAAGGTGGTATCACTACAGAAGTAGATTGCCCAATCTTCCTTCCGAGGAGTGGCTGGTGGGTTTGAACTGCCAGCCTTCTAGTTAGCGGTCGGATGGCTTAGCCACTATGCCATCAGAGCTCCCAGGTCAACACTAGATGAAAATATTCTTTGTAAATTACATTGTTTTAAAAGTTATTTTTTGAGAAAGAAAACTAAGAACAGTAAAAGGTGTGACTGGCTCATTCTTCCTGTCCAGATGGTTGATCATGATCCCTTTCAGTTGGTATTAAGGTTCTTTTGATATCAAAACACCAAACTCATTGCTGTTGACTTGACTGTGACTCATAACGGTCCCACAGGACAGAGTAGAACTGCCCCATGGAAGCAGACTGCCACATCTTTGTCCCATGGAGTGGCTGGTGGTATCAAACTGCCCTTTCAGTTAGCAGATGAGCACTTAGCCACCGCAGCCATCACAGTGCCTCTGATTCCAAATAGCAGAATGCAGCTCTGACTATCCTAGTCAAAAGAAAGGAATTTATAAGAAAGAGACTAAGGTGTTACCTCTGTCGGCTAACAAGTCTCAGTCCCATAAGAGTAAGTGTAGGATTCACAGCTTGAGTTACACCCTGTTCTAGACACAGTGATTGGTTCAGGGGTGGGCATGGGAGTTACCCCCTGCTCTGGACACAGTGATTCGTTCAGGCGTGGACATGGGACCTCACAGAACCAATCAGAGGGTTTTCTTTTAAAACTGAGACAGAACCATTTAAAGAGAGAGGCCTCCTAATGCTGTGGTTGCTATGACCAGGTTGGCTGTAGTTTTGGTCTCCATCATGCAGCGTCAGCAGGGGGACCCTGATATGAGAGGTAAGCAGGTCAGCGAATGAGAGAAGTCAGATGACCTGACAGCGTGGAGACCCCAATTCTAGGCTCTGGTTCTTGTGTTTCTTTTCTCAATTCACAATCTTTCCAATGTACATGAGCCTCTTTGTGCTGGATATCTTCTTTGGTTTACTCCTCCAGATCTAATCTCCACTCTTCTCCATTCCTCTGGCTTCCATTTGGGTTTGACCAAAGGGGATCCTTGGCAGAAGATTGGAGTGAAGGAGGAGAGTAAGGCAAGGGCTGAGGCCCCTCTGTTTCCAGTTTCCTTGGTCCCCGATTCTGCACATTAATACTCAGGGTCAACCCACTCCTCCAGGAATCTTCTTGCCCAAAGGACACTTGGCTTTCTTGCTCTGTGGGCTGGCCAACCTGCTACTCCATTTCATGCCGGTTTCTTCTACCAATTAATGCCCAAAGGCAACCCACTTTGCCAGGAAGCCACCTACCTATTAGCATCTGGCTTTCTCCTCTGTGGGCTGGTAAGGCTGTTGCTCTCTCATGCCGGTCTCTCTGCTACTTCTGTCTCTCATGCTGCATGCCAGGATCTCAGGTCAATGATGCACTGTACTCCTGTTTCTACATTTTAGGTATGTATCAGAGCAGCACCCCACTCTCTCGGTACCATATTCTGTTTTGGTTACCTAGTGTCACCACAAATGGGATGGCTTTATTCTCTTAAAATTTTGGAGGTTAGAAGTTTGAGTTCCACCTGGCTCTAGGGCCTGGGTGAAAGCCCCTTGACCTTGGGCTTAAGCTCTGCCTCTTGCTCCTGGCCCACTGAAACTAGAGGCATCTCTCTTCACTCAGGCAGGTGCTGGCTGCTGAGGCTGACAGACCCAAGGTTGACAAATGAAAAGGCACAGTCCCAATATTACCAAACCACTTGACAGGCCATAAATTCTATTGAAAGTCCTGAGATTGTCTGGGCAGCATGGCAGGCTGCTGAACAATGACTCGGCTGCATGATGGGTTCAAGCATGCCATCAGCTGGAGACCTTCCTCAAAGTTGCTTCTTATATACTAGAAGCAGCCCATATCCCTAAAGCAGCTACTTAGCTGCTCCAGTAGCTTCCACCGTGGAGTTAATTACCAATCTCACCATGGGGAATAACTATATCTAGGTGCCCAGCCACTCAACCAGGCCTAGTCAAGTTGATACACAACCTTAACTACCACATTCAGTAAAATTTATTTTTATCCTTTATAATTAATACCTTTTCTGTTAGGTTTAAGAAACCCTCTCCTTCTCTGAAGTCAGGAAGATATTCTATCATATCTTCAAAATCTTTATTATTTTATGATTCATATTTTTTTGTTGTCTGAGTTACGAATCCACTTTCTTTTTTCCATGTAAATATCCAATTGTTCCAGCACAGGT